GGCCATTTCGCCGCGCCAGTTTTACGAGCGAAAGAACGGAGTGCCCTACGTTTCCCCGGCTGAACTTCGAGATAAGATGGTCACATTTCCTGCTTTCGTGCAAGTATCTATGGTTCCGCGGTCGCGTCGGAGGCTCGGGTTCTTCGTGGCCGGTTGTGTTGACAAACGAAAGAGGCACGCCGTTACGCCGGTACCTCGTGATATCTCAGTTCCTTTGATGGCCAACCGCCGTCCTGGGACTCCGTGTGTGTGCTCCACGAGTCGAGCGAAACACCGTGACCTCTCGACCTTCTTAAGGAGGGCTTCGATGAGTGGCCACTTCGTACAGAGAGTCGATCCGGAAGTATATCGTCGAGTTCTCTGGTAAACCGCCAACGAGAACGCCTTTTCGAAGATCCTGCGTCTGGCTGCTGAGTGATAAAGGGCTAAAAGCCTGGTATTTATGCTACGTTGCCCGGCAATTAACGATTTCGAACCAACGCCGTACTGGCTGGCTACGAAATAGATGCTATCGCTTTGCTGGCGTATATAACATAGCTCGAGTAAACCTAGGTCCACTTACTCTTCCCTTCTAACGAGACAAAACATCCAATAAAAATCCAATGGAACAGTTGAGATTGATTAGATATAAACAAAGCAATCTCTGTCTTCTTCTCATTCTTCTAAATACTAAGCTAAGTTTATTTTATTACCGATGGACCTATTTATTTCTTAAGCGTGAAGATGATACAAGCGAATTTACCGCGACCGTTGTATGGGTACTTTGACACGTATTTGGGACGCGGTTATTGGATTCCAGCGCAGGGAAATGATATGATACTCTACAGAATTGCTTTCTATTTAGGAAGATCGTGCAGCGAAATTAATAAAAAAAACCCGCGCGAGGACAAAAAGTTTCGACGAATAAAACGTTTTATTGCGCTTTAACGATAGATCGGGGTGGGTGCATTCCGACTCAAAGGGGAACCGAATCGATAGGAAGCACTAAACGCGTATGATAAAAGTTCAGTTCCGGTGCATGATGGTGAACCCATTGAAACTCATAATCCGCGCATCTGCATGAAACTCGCGGTGGTATGGTCGAACTCGTGCGATGATGAAAGCAGAGACGCCACAGAATCGGTATCAAGGAAGTGAGTACAAGAGAGCACTTGTACTTTTCCAGGTACCAGCGGGCTTTGAAACCAGCCCGCTTTTCACGGCAATTAATTAATGCGCCTACGAATGTAGAACCTGTCCTAGAGTATCGTAATTCATCGCTGCGAGACCTTAAAATGCACCGCGAAACGCAAAAATGAAAGGCGAGAAGAACAGACGAATGTAACGACGGAAAATAAATTTTTGCCCGCGTTGTAAAGCCTGTAAATAACTTTGAAGCGCTTCTCGAAACCATTCTCGACGAAGTGAAACGTAAGAATTCGTTGTAAATTATCTCTCTTTTAGTAAAATGCAGGGGGTTTAAAACCTTAACAAAGCGAATAGAATTTAAAATAGTCGGCTGTGATAAATGCGATTAAATTCGTTAAACTTTAAACGTAATTAACTTGATTGAAACGATCAATAATTGCTCGCGGACCGAGTCGAGCTAAATCTTCGGGTTATTGTTGGGATTCTCGGATTTTACGCCAAGGTGGACACAAAAACTGTTGGCTCTACACAAGGTTCGTGGAACCGAGTTATTTGGTAAATAGACAAGTACAATAACCTTTTACTAAAACTAAAAATTATCAACGAGACTTTATTTCGTTGCAATCTAATCTGATGGCGAATCGATGGATTTAATTAGGGGATAAATCAAGTACGTAACTAACTGCAAATTCGTATCAAGGTGCTTCGTATCAAGCTGAGAGCGAACAGTCGTGCAAATGGAAAAAGTGCACGGCGTTAACCGGTGTTTTTGCGCCGGTATATCGAGCGAAACCGTAGATTACGGAAGATCTATTATGGCGTTATCATTTTACGTGATAGAGAAGCATCGTCGCAGCGTGAGTCTTCGTCGACGTCCCGTCGAGTCTGGAATTTAACGTAGGCGCTCGCAATCGCGGCGTGTGTCTATCCAAGGCGCACGAACAACATAGTCATTAAGTTGTTACTTGCTGTTACGCGTTCGAGCAACTAAAATAGAACAGTTCGACGAACAACCCGATGAACACGTACAGTTGGACATTAATGAAATTCGGTTCGTAAAATGACTAAAACGAATTGCCTTAACTTTGGTGGGAGGATCCTCGAGCCCACCTACGTTATCCCTACTTATCTTTGGAACCCCATGAAAGGGGTTTCTATCATAACAATACGATATCATCGGGTTCTAGTTTTCGTGGAGAGGAAGCAATATTACGTGCACGGTGACCGACAACCGGACCACCGTGGACGTACGAAAATATCTATAAGCCTTGGCGACCACTATTTCCGAGACAAGAAATGTACGCGTGTAACCGGCACACGGCGTGTCCGTCCAGACGGAAAGGAAGATGTCGTCTTGCCTCTCGAATGCAACGCGCGAGACTGCGGCAATAAATCAAAGCAAAATCCCGTTGCTTTCGATCCCGAGCGAGTTTGGGTAGGAAAGGGGTGCTTTTCAGGTCCACGGCCCCTGGGATGTGTCGTGTTACGAAAAAGCCATTCGTCATCGTTGCCCACCACCTTCTTCCGTTCTGCTTTCTTTTCTTCGCGGATGCTTCCACGCCCAAACGTCTTCGAAATCACCCACCCGTCCCGAACCTTTTCTGTCCTCCGATTCCCTCCGATTCCCTCCGATTCCCTCCGATTCCCTCCTCTTTCCCATCTTTGCCATATATGAGAACAAATCTCTCGCGACCCGTTCACGGTTTAACCTGGCAACCAGATACACGGACAACGTGATTTAATGGACCGACGGGTCTTGGGGGCCGAAAATCGTTATGCGAATTGGTCCTCGAAAAGATTGCGATCTTATGGCCGGTGTGTAAAGAAACCATCGATCATTGTACGTTTCAACACAAGAGGATCGTACGATGTGTTAACGAAATAAGCGTTAACTTGATATTAGATAGCAGATGAATAGCCCTAATACTCGCTAGCATAAAATCGCAAGCTGAACGTCGAGATTGAATATATCTTATTTGCCGTAAGTCAAACTTGGCGAAAGAACACTTTGGCATTATGACACTCGAGGCTGCACTTGGGTATAATGTCATGTATCCCGAGCCCAAGTATCTTGCCAGACGTCGACGTAATAATACGGCAAACGGCCCACTTCACTCACGATGATATCGTTCGAAGCGAAGATAATTTTTTTTTATACTCCTACGTCGCGCCTCGGTACTTTTAAACGATCCATTCTGTCGCAACGCTCTTTTTTCCGCGCGTACAAATTCAAACTCTAACCGCCGTAAACTAATGCTTCATTTTCGTCGTTGGAGGCGGGACGGGGGCTCGAACGACCCGATTAATTAAATCACAAGAGCTTTCGACGTGGCCGTTCCATTCGTGCAAACATGAATAGAGCATTCAGCTTTTTTTTTCTCAGACGTATGGAACGTAAAAATGCCACCCCGCCCATCGGCCTTACTGACGCTTTAACGAAGCTCAAGATAGATTTATTAGCCACAAGTTCAAGCGAACGACCGAAGGTTAATCTTCTACTTTCGACACCGACTGCGTCCAATTTCCTTTCGCCCCAATTTTCCATATTTAGGAATGATCGGTATGACTTCTAATTTCTTTACTTGATATATCGTTTGCCATCTCTTTTTTTATTTTATTTATTCAATAAACGAGAAGCCATAGGATATTTAAATGCATTGAAAATTTGCAAGGAAATATTAAGCGGATAAGAAATTGTAACAAGTTCGCTGTTATAGTTGGAGCAGAATTAATTTGGCGCCCAAGGCCACTTCACTTACGTGAATCTTATCAAACGCGTCATTCACTTTTTAAGTCGTGCCAGCTTATGGCTGCGTTTGACAGGTGGAGAACGTGCACGTAGAGGTTTATACGGTAAAACGAAAGATGGAACAATGGGGGGAGAAAAACTGAATGCCACGTGGCAGGGATAATCTCTCGGTGGCCTCGAGCAGTCACTTCATTTTGTTTCACATGCAACAATGTTACTCAAACTTTTTAACCGCGATTCGCTTGAACGCAACAAATAATTCGGTAAGCCGACCGTGGTATTTTATCGTCAGATGCAAGCTCACAAATACTGCTTCAAAGTATGAAATTTATGCAATAATTCTACTCCGATTATAAGAGCAAAATAAATTTTTTCTACCATTAAAATTGGTCCGTATCTAATTATGTGGTTCCCTTGTTAGGGACTGAAACGCGGTTGAATAAATCATCGTAGAATATTATCGATGCTAGCTATTTCGAACAAAGTAAAATTGTTCAAAGGTCACGCGACGATGAAACGACAGGAACGTTTATTTCGTTCGTCGAATGAAACGACAATATCATCACCGATCGAGGACTCCTTTGTTGCAAAACGGAAACACTTGGACGAGCGAGAAAACAACGAATGGGTCAGTTGAATACACGTTTATCTGGATAAATCACGAACAACATGCTTATCCTTGTTTTCATACGTTTGTTCCCGCCTACGCAAATACGCAATGTCCACAAATACATGGAGATTCGTTCGTTCGTCTCTCCGTTCAATATTATTTGTTGCGTTCCGTTCTATAACTGCTATTCGTTTCGTCGCATTCAAAGAGAATCGTTGTTTTCAGTCAACAAATGTCGCGCACGTATTAATAAAAATTCTCTAGCTCGGCGATCAAAGCGTTCTCATCGTTTTAATAAAGAATCGTTCGGTACAGAGCATTCGAAGATGTTAGCACATGTGTGCAAGTATAATATTCAAAACAATTAATTAAAGAATTAATCTTTATGCAAGAAAAAATTTTACCGAATACTGAATTTTCCAAAAGAGTATGGAAGCTGGCTATAATATGTACTTGCAGCATGCGATTACCATAGAAGCGTGAAGCGTGTAAATTAAAGTGCTTGTCTCTTACCATAAGGGACACATTTTGGGATAGGATGATTCCAGCCGTCGACGGTGCAAGTCACTATTTTATGACCCTTCAATCTACGGCCTGGTTCACACGAGTACACGGTTTGTAGAGTGCCATCTTTGAGGATCCTCTCTCTCACCGTGCCCCATTGAGGTGGCTGCACCAAGGGACAATTCCCGAGAATTCCTGAAAGTCGAACAAGAGACCTTTAATCACAGATAACCTCGAAAAGACACGGAGATTGTATGACTATATGTATTAACGTTTATTTGAAACGGAATGATTAAATTTAACACACTTTGGTGAACGATTACGACTTCTCGATGGTACTACGTGAAAAAAGAAATCAAAACAAATCGAAAATCAAGAATATAATTTTTTTGTTCGAAGCGTCGTTTTTGAGATACGCGAATTTGAAAGTTTACGAGTTGCTCTGATATGTACGAAGGATAGTTTAGGATGCGCGAAGATGCGCGCGCAGTCGCGAAATAGAAGCGACAAGAGATGAGAGAAAGAAAATTATATTGAAAGTAATTTTACAGCTTAAGAAACGCTGCCTTAATACACACGCACTCAATGACGAACTAAAGTCGATTGAGTTTGTTCTTTCAAAAGAAAGGATGTATTAAAAAATGTTCATATTACTGCTATTACGTCGCAGAAAATTCTTCTGCGAATTACGTTTATTCGCAAGGTTATTACATAGCAATTTCATACAGAACTACGAATGGATACGTACTGTTGGTTTGAAGTAGACATTGGTCACACTGTGCCTTCAGTTTGTCACCTTTTATTTTATTAATTTAGAAACACTATTCATGTACATTGTACCGCGTCAACGCTTGACGCCATCTTGCTTTCTACTCGCGCACACGCTAGACGCGCCCTCTCCTTCTCTAACTACCACGAGCGCACTCTCTCGGCTAGTGACTGATCTACTTTTGAACAGTATGAACAGTAGTAGCGCGAACATATACTATTATCTAATATGGAAATATACACATTCAGCTAAAGTAAATTACGTTTAACAAATTCTATTAAACAAAATATGAAAGAATAGATAATTTTCTGCAGATAAAATTTGCCTTTCTATAGATGGTATCCTGATTAAATTAAAACAGAAAACCGTAGGGCTGTCGATACGTCACCAAGTAGAGTTTATTGCACAAAAACAATATGTTTCATTACATATAAGTAATTTATTATAAAAATATTCATAAAAGTAGAAATAAAAGTAGAAATACGCATAACGTAGGGGATGCAATGATTTGAGGTGCGAAATATAATAAATCCGAGGTTCTGCCGGACCGAATGACGAGGTTCAGGGCGATAACGTTTTCGTATCAAAAGGACGAGCAAACTTCTGGCCCAATCTCCGAAGGATCATCCACGAAACTTCTGTCGTTTAATTAATACTCGAGCGCTTACGATCCTTGATCAATATGAACTTGTGAAAGTTCAGGGCGACGCGGTCAATTCACTATTCGCGTGGCTCGATGTTCCTCAAAGGGCCAAGAAACGTTGCTTACCAAAGGCAGAGGTAATAGATAAAACAATTTTAATTATCTCATTATAATTAATCGATCACTTGGCATTGAAATAATTGTGACGTCTCGCGAAAATAGCTTGTATTGTTTTCTTAACGTTGCTCGACAAACGATTGAAATTAAAATAAATTAGCGAGTCTCGCGAACGTGTGCGTGTCGAGTGTAGCAAAAAGTGTGTACATTGACTCGGCCGTAACGCAATTTGAAAACCCTATCCCGTCGGTGCTGTAGAGCAATTAGAAGTACAAATTACACATCGGATATCGGTGTTCAAAAGGCCCGTAATCCGAGCGTAATACCGCTACGTGCAAACTGATTCGGTGAAACGCGCGTTAAGAGCGCTGCCTCGTAAACGCGTGGATGTTTTCTCGAAACCGCGGAAAAATTCCGCATCGACGTTCAAAAATCAACATCATCGAACGAAAAGGTTACACAAGGGAGCCGCGGCCGTGACAAAGGCGACAGGCGGGGGCGTTTGGCGCTTAGCGTAATTTGTTCACCCCTGCAAATTCGCGCGGTCAAACATCGTGCACAAACTTCCAACGGGAAAACAAACGATCACGAGTCTTTTATGGAAGCAATCTGCGCGAACTGGGGCCCCATTTACTTAATGCAGCTTGGCTGTAGTGACTCCCTAATTAATGTCACCGCGATCTCTCTTCCGAAAGGCGTGTTGCCTCCCTCTAGATCAGATCTACGTCTTTTTCTCCCGGAATGCAAATGGTAGGCGGTGTAAAATTTAATTATTTCGTTTGCCATTTGAAATTAATATTTTAATTAAAATGGGATATGTTTTGCGTATAATGACCCTGCGTAGACGTAGAACTGCGACAAAATAAGTTTGTTTGAAAATGAATTATAAAGTAAAGAGTTATGGTGCATGGTATTTATCTTTTTTCTCGCAGTTGTACGCCTTTGTTCCGCTTTGGTCGCGCAAGTAACGCACTAAGCCACCCCGCCTCCTTTTCACGACAGCCAGTCCAGTCTCTACTCGTATACTTCATCCGTTAGGAATATTTTACGACCACGGCGCAGGGAGGAACTGGCGAAGTAAGCATGTCGCAGATCCAAGGATATACGCATTGTTACACACAACCACGTCGAGATTATGGCGCTTCGAAATGCTTCTCTGCGTAAGCACGCTATTGGTTAAGAGATTTCCGTAAAAACGATTGCAGATTTCCCAGACAAATCGGATGAAATCCGCTGAATTTTCGAATCCGTATTCGCTAAATGTTACTGCCGGATTCTGATCGGAAAGATTTTACTATCGATCGATACACGAACGACTTTTTTCCAAATCATCGACATAAAAACACTGTACGAAGCCATACAAATCCGATTTGTGCAGTTCCATCGATCAGAAAAATAAAAAACATCTATCTCTTCGATGCGACGTAATTATAATAGGCGTAACACGTTTTGCAATGCAACGGTGTATTAGTCTTGTCTATTAAATTATTATCATTAACTCGTCAAAGCAGCTACGAAAGCCACTTTTCCCGGCTTACGAAAACACATTTTTCCAGGTCTGCATTTAATCGAGCCAGCGGACCCGACGAACCGACGACCCGAACGCTGTTTGTATTAGCGCAAATCGGATAACGTCACCGGCTCGTGCAGATTCTAAAATAATGCGCTTCCAGGGGCCGTCGTTAATGTTCCCCGTTCAAAGCAACGTTCGTTGCCCGTTTAAGTACACGGCTTTCACTCACCTCACCGGTTATTTGATTCACCGTTACGGACTTTGGGACTTTTGGGTAGCACGCGGTTTCAAAGAGTGCCACGAAACTCCTTTTGCCAAACGAATTCCCCTTTGCCGAGCAATGGAAATAAAAACGGAGAGAAAACTATCGATGGTGGTATAAGATTTCGCCTATTACAGTTTCTTCTTCGAAAAGACGGTTCACCGGAGTAGAATTCTTGCGGCGAAGTTCGCGCGGGACGTCAGATGGTCGATTACATCTCGCGTAACTAATCTCGAGTTATCGATCTATGCAAATTATGGTCGTGTTAGTAAACTCGAGGGAAGCCCTGAAATCTGCACATATCTTGGAATACCTTAAGGCGGGTGACTCACTTGCCGTGAGTCAATAGCATATTTCACGCGCCCAGGCATCAGCGTTATCGCGTTAACGCGTGTAACTTCCCGCCTGTGTCACGGAAGCCCACATCGCCTGAAGTTTGCGGAAGTAAACCTATCGAACGTGGAATGTATGGAGTTCCTGTGTCCGAAACGTTCGCACAATTTCGTTCGTTTAAACTAATTACGGTCGATCGGGATTGAACACGGAATAGAAGCAGATCGGCGTACAATTGATAGAGTTTTAACAAGACTTAAATAACTTCCTTTCATTTTGCGTGATACTTCTTTGTGGCGATTCGTTATTAAGAACGACATTCCCTTTGTATTAACAGATCGATCCGGCTCTTTATTGAAACAAAAGACGCTTCCCCATGTTAAGAATACTTGTGCCTGCATCAAAGCTAAGGAACTGTATTTAATTTATAATGGTTCCTTGGGTACTTCATGTTTTCTCCGAGCTGTTTATAAATGCTGTTTCTTGTAAGATTCGCGTGCTCGACTATCGATCTATTCAAATAATGATCGTCACCGACTGTAACCAAGATGCAAGATAAGATGGAAAAGTGGTTTGAGAAAAAATATGAAATTCGTTTTGCCTCTAAACTTGATTAATGGTTCTTCGAGTATTTGAAAGATAACGGGAACAAGGATGTGAAAGTTTCTATGTTCTAACGAGTTATTGATCTACATTATAGGAATATACGCTATAAGATTCGACAACTTATATGTACCTGTTTAACAAATTAGTTGGCGTTTTGTCCAGATTATGTTAATTGAAAAAGATTCAAAACTTTGAAAATCGGGAACTTTTAATCATTATTTAAATACACTTGCTCTTGAGCGTCTTGACAGGTCTTCGTAAATCTTAAACGATCTTGATGTTTCTGCATCTTAAACGGTCTTGAAATATTTAATGAACCTTAAACGCCTCGCAGTTTGAATACTTTGGTACAAACTATATAATTGACGTAAAATATCGGAGAGAGTCTGGAAAATACTAACGATCTTGCCTTTACGGTTTACGTCGTTTACGTAATTTTATGTATAATTATTAAATGGTGAAAACTTTAACGTTTCTATTTTCATTTATAATTTCCTGGAATACGATGTCCCCAGTGTGATATGTCCCTCGAGTCCGATCATAGATCACCAATAGTGGATGTATGGGTTTGTTATTATGGAATTCCCGAATTTGGTTGGTTGACAATATTCCACGTGCTCCAAGTCAATTCTGATTGGACTTACGTGACCTATATAGTCTGAATCGAACTCGAACTGGTCCAGACGCATTACGCTGCTGTATTCGACGATCGATGTATTCGTCACTGCTAAGCCTATTTGTCAGGAATCATCGATATTGTATCTCATGGATCAATGATCATGTTCTACGATTCGTAAGACGCGTATATGCACGCTGTCCGCAATTCGTGAATAGTTTCTAACACCGTTCAAAGCCCGCACATTCGAGGTTCGCTGGTTAATGAGCAACGTATCGCTCGACAACATGTTGGAAAACATCCTTTGCTCCGCGTTCGATAAATACCAAATGCGTAGTTCCATCATAATAAATTGTACGATTCGACTGCCTTTGATGTTAAATTTCGCCACTCTGAATCGATATTGCTAGCAGTACTTTGACCGAAATTAAATTCTGCATCCTGCAAATGGTCTACGCTATATTGATGTTTAAAGGATGAAATTTTTGTTAAATTATAAACACCAATTATCCAAGTATCGTAAAGTTGGTTCCAAAGGAAGACTAAGTAAGAAATCAGTGCACTCAACGTTCGAACATCCTTTCTGTAGAAGGCGAAAGTTTTCACATTCATAATTCCGGGAAAAACGGAAGGATACGTAGAGGAACGCACGAAGTTTTAGTCGGCAGTTTTATCAAACGTAAACGTAATTATTCCCGGGAATTTTAAACCGAAAGTTTATCAACTCGCATAAAATTGTCTCGCGGAGGACTTCCGCCTACCGAAGAAGCACGATCTTTTCGTAAATGCGATTCTATGAAGATAGCAACAGAGATCCAACGTTCAGTCACAATATAATGCATTAGCTGTCATAGCGTCTATCTCTTCGAAACTTAACCTGTTAAAACTTTATCGCGCCTCTTGCCATCGAAGGAAATCGCGTTTCTCGTTTCGTCATGCTGAAACTGTTACCCTCCCCTTCTACGATACCCGTTCCTAAACTCTTCCAAGTTTGCCATTTGCGCAGTCCATTTTCCCGAGACTGCGTCGGTACTTCTCCTTGAAAGATGTTCAAACGATCTTTGACGATTTAGTCGCACTCGAGGAAGTGGTGCTGGGATGGGATAGGCTCTAAAACGCTTCTCTGGTTTCACTTTAACAAATCGTCGTATCTCGCGGAAGAATAGACCGCCCTGTACGTGAACGCGAAACACATCTAACAACAATAAGCGTACCTCGTGCACAAACGCCAGCACACCTTCTCAAAGAATAGAAATCATGTTACACGGTCCGTGGCATTCTTACAAAACCCGATCGTACAGAATTACGCGCGCGTTAACTCCACGGATGCTCGAAACCGAATTCATTCACGATCAACCACTCACACCTCGTTATTTCGCTATTTTTTTATCAGAAATTTTTGTCTACATCTTATAAACAGACGTTGGTACGAATCAGACCTCGTTAGTAGATTGTTAATCGATACTGAACGTTTCAATATTGATTAAAGATTAAAGTTTCTAAATTTCCCAATACTAAATTCTACCATCATTAATCGTTTCTTTGGATGCATTTTGCTTACTTTTACAACAACTTTTCACACTTTTATTCTTTCGTATGTCATGCATCGATCGAATGACAAGCCAAAGGAATCGCTGATTGACATACTCGGTAAACCTTAATTGCAAGAGATAGACGATGGAGAAGCGTGTCAAACACACGACCCGATTGACCTTTTTAGCATTCGATATTTCTTTCTTTTTATATGAATTTGACTGTGCAAAGTATTTGCAAAAAATTCCCGAAGAAAGTTTTAAGAAAACGCTTTGTGACTACGAACGGAGCGAAACAACGTATGTAAATCAGTTTGTGTGCGGTGTATCGAGTATTCTGCTCCTTATCGGCGTAGGTCGAAGGTGTATTTACACGAGAAATTTACCCGTTGCCTGTTTACAAGCACGATCGTTTCGACTTGCGGTCCGACAGTTGTCCGATACAACTAGTACGAACGTTGTTTCCTTCGTGTACCCTCTCGAGGTTCCATCGTTGCTGATAGCCGTCATTTCGAGCATCTGTTGTAAGCAGGTTACTGGAAAGACGCATCTCCCTGTCGTACTTACGGTAACAACATCGCATGAACGGCTCAACGTTTATGGGAGCGGAAAAAATGAGTCGCACTCGCGACACGAGCGACGACATCCTTCCTTGAATAACCTTCCATGCAACTTAATCCCATGGTCGATGAATATGAATCGATTCGAACGTCGTGCATTTTTATTTTAAATACATTTTAGTACTTTTTACGAGACGTGATTTCTTTAATTAGGTGCAAGCATCGCATTAAATTCATTAAATGTCAAGACGATATTTTAGTATTTAATTTCTGTTGCAAATTTTCAATTTGTTTTTATATGAAGCGTTCTTTTTTATTGTACTACGATTTTCAATACAAAAATCTGCTTGCGAAGTGATCGATAACATTTCCATTGACCACCAAATATTATTTTCGATATCGGAGTACATTAAATATTTACGCGAGCCCACATTACGTTAATAATTTCCAAATTACGAACGAACGTTATTTACAAGGCTTCTGTATTTGAAAACCTTCAAACGAGAGACCAGAGTTAGTGTTCTCATAAATTAATCCACTTTTATCAGCTTTGCTTCCCCCACGTTACTAATCATAACTCATTTGTCGAGGTAAATTATATGCATATGAAATAGTCGGAACGTTTTGCAATATAAAATGATAATCCTCACCAACGACGTATTCACGATGTTCATAATTTCCATATATTATTTATGATATTCTCCGGCCATCCAATCAAAAACTGATTGGCCGTCCAATTTGCCCCTTGAAATTCGATCTCCTTTCTTCATCCCTTCCGGTTTTTGCAGCATTACGCGATTACGCGGTTATTCGTCACTATAAAATTAGCATGAAAATATTCGTGGCGCGCACAGCGCGTGTAAAAAATGTAAATATGTAATGAATATGAAAAATACAAGAATATTTAAATGCCTCATGAAATATAATATTCCAAAATATATTTCTCTGATTACTTGTTCAATATTTTCGCTTGAAAAAAATTGTGACTATTCGTAAAACGTAAACGAACATGTGTGCAAAATGTCGAAATTAAAAGCTCTGTACTTCTTTGGAGAAAAAAAATGAAACTCTAGAGCAGAATAGCCTCTTGACATTACGTGGCACTTAACTGCACGCAGCACATCCTATTGGTTTCATAACGCGAATTCAGTACATCAAGTGGCGATGTACATTTTTTAAAACACCCTGTACGTAGAGAACAAGCAATCACGCTACTCATCCAACATTCATTATTCCTCGTCGTCGGTTGATCCAGCCGATGCAACCTGCCATATCAGGGCAGACGCGGCTGTTGAGGTTTAAAAGCTCCATCGTTCATTTCGTCTGCTCTCCTCGTTCACGTTGTCGGTAAACCTGCATGTATGTACCTCGTCATCCGAAACACGGGCTCAAGTGCTTGTGCATACGTTTGCATAAGGCGAGAACGAGGTAAAGCTATGTCCACACGGTACCCTCCACGAGCTTCCCCTTTCTTTCTCTCTTCCGGTCTCCACCGCTTATATCATCCTGTCTTTTATTACTTTTTTGCGCTATTCCCTCGCTTATAGTTTCGTGTACTATCCGACGAGCATATTTTCTCACTTCCTTCTAAACTCGTTTACTTTTATTCGTCGCTACGGCTGTTGTTCTTCCTTAGCCAACGCTATTCCTAACTTTCCGTACCACTTTCGCTTTCTTCCGTACATACAACAGGACTACAAATACA